CAAACGTCCTATCCATCTCATATTTCTGTAGGAGATATCCAAGGTACCTAGCTATTTCTGGAAAAATTTTCCATTCTGCATATATACATACTTAGTGTGAATTTGGATACTGGACTTTGGCAACAAAATACACATTTTTCTCTCCATTAGGCCTAAAACGGTGTGGCCTAGCAACTGTTTGAAACTCCATCCAATAACTGTTTTCTTACTTCTGACAGTGAGAGCTTTGTTCCACACTTTGGGATTTCTGAAGCAAACAGGCAGCTCTCAGCATCAAGTTGCTGGCTCACTTCCAGTTGAATGTCACCTTTTCTTAGTAACAACAGTATGACAATCAGCAATTTCAGACACACTACCACAGACTGTTTCCACATGGGCATTTCCGATATGACATTGGAATGTGTTTTCAAGCCACAAAAACTACAGTGAAACACACTGCCATGATGCTCAAAGTTAGGTCCCCGGTGCAAACATGGAGGTCTCACCTCGTTGAATCTAGAGAGTTTTGATAGAGACCTGAAAACACTCTCCATTGATGCCTTATCTTCCTCAATGGAACATAGCTTTCTCTGTGTTCTGTGTGCTGAGAGTCACATAAGCTTGAAAAGGCTTGCTTGGAGGTCATTTTTCAGTAGCAATTCCTCTGGTGGTGGTCCCATAGGAAAACCCCCACACCTACAGGGAAAGCAAAAACACCTTCCACACATCCAACCTATCACGTTTTCTCTGTAGCAGAGCTCCAGTGTGCCTCGGTCTTTTTAGCAAATTCTTGGTTTCTGTGGGAACATATACTGAGTGTGACTTTGGATACTGGACCTTGGTGGCAAATTCGGATTTTCACTCGGTTGGCCCTAAAGTGGTACAGCATAGCAACTGCTTGAAACTCCATCCAATAGCTGCTTTCTTACAAATGACAGCAAGAGCTTTGCTCCACCCTTTAGGACTCCTGGAGCATGCAGATGATTCGCAATGGCTAGCTGCTGGCTCATTGCTAGTTGAATGTCACCTCTTCTGGGTAACCACAGGATGGCAATCAGCACTTTCAGACACACTGCCACAGCCTGTTTCCTCATGGTCATTCCCAGTATGACATAGGAATGTGTTTTCAAGCCACAGAAAGTGTAGGGAAACACATTGTCCCGACTCTCAAAGTTAGGTCCTTGGGGCAAACCTAAAGGTCTCACCTCTTAGCATCTAGAGAGTTTTTGATAAATAGAGGCCTGAAAACACTCCATTAATGCTTCACCTTCCTCAAAGGAACTTAGCTTTCTCTGCATACTGTGAGCTGAGAGTCACATACTGCATGAAAACGTTTGCTTGGAGGCCAGTTTTCACTATCATTTTACTCTGACAGTGTGAGCACAGGGAAAGTCCCGACACTTACAGGGAAAGCAAAACCAACATTCAAACGTGTGATCCATCTCGTTTTCTCTGTAGGAGAGATCCAGTGTGCCTAGCTATTTTTGGAAAATTTTTCCATACTGCAGATACACATACTGAGTGTGAATTTGGACACCAGACATTGGTGACAAAATTCGCATTTTTCTCTCTGTTAGCCCTAAAACAATGCGGCCTAGCAACTGCTTCAAACTCCATCAAATACCTGTTTTCTTACTTCAGACTCCTAGCATTTTGGTCCACCCTTTGGGATTTCTGAAGCAAGCAGGCAACTCGAAACAGCTAGCTGCTGCCTCATTTCCAGTTGAATGTCACCTCTTCTGGGTAACCACAGTATGGCAATCTGCACTTTCAGACACACTCCCACAGCCTGTTTCCTCATGGGCATTCACGGTACAACATAGGAATGTGTTTTCAAGCCCTAAAAAGTGTGGGGAAGCACACTACTCTTACTCTCGAAGTTAGGTCCTGAGGGCAAACCTGGAGTCTCACCTCTTAGAATCTAGAGAGTTCTTGATAGATGGAAGCCTGAAAACACACTCTCCATGGTAGCCTTACCTTCCTCGAAGGAACATAGCTTTCCCTGCATTCTGAAGCTGAGACTCACATACTGCTGGAAAATGCTTGTTTGGAGGTCATTTTTCAGTATAAATTTCCCCTGACAGGGTGAGTATAGGGAAGGGCCACACAATCAGAGGGAAAACAAAACCACCTTCCCAACATCTGGTCCATCACGTTTTCTCTGTGTGAGAGATCTAGTGTGCCTAGGTCTTTTTAGAAAATTCTTGGTTTTAGTGGGAACATATACTGAGTGTGAAGTTGAATACCGGACAGTGGTGGCAAAATTAGCATTTTCACTCGATTGCACCTAAACAGTGCAGCCAAGCAACAGCTTGCATCTCCATCCAAGAGCTGTCTTCTTACTTCTGAGAGCAGGTTTTAGTTCCAATCTTTGGGATTTCTAAAGCAAGCAGGAGGCTCCCATATGCTAGAGGCTGACCCATTTCCAGATAAATGTCACCTCTTCTGGGTAAGCATAGTATGGTAATCAGCACCCTCAGACACAGTCGTGCAGCCTGTTTCCTCATGGGCATTCCCGGTACAACATTGGGATGTGTTTTCAAGCTGCAGAAAGTGCAGGGAAATACACTGACCTGTTGCTGAATCTTAGGTCCTGGGGGGCAAACCTGGAGGTCTCACATCTTAGAATCAGGACAGTTCTTGACAGATAGAGGCCTGAAATCACACTCTCTGGTGATGCCTTACGTTCCTCGAAGGAACAGAGCTTTCCCAGCGTCTGTGTGCTGAGAGTCACACACTGCTTGAAAACACTTGTGTGCAGGTCATTTTTCACTAGCACTTTCCCCTGACGCTGTGACCGTAGAGAAGGCACCCACACGTAAAGGGAAAGAAAACCGATATCCAAACGTCTGATCCATCATGTTTTCTCTGTAGGAGGGATCCAGTGTGCCTCGTTCCTATTGGAACATTCTTGGACAGTGCAGGGACACATAGTGAGTGTCAAGTTGGATACTGGACATGGGGACAAAATTTGAATTTTCACTTGGTTGGTCCTGAAAAGATGCAGTCTAGAAACTGCTTGAAACTCCATCCAGTAGCGGTTTTCTTATTTCTGACAGTGAGAGTTTTGATCAACCCCTTGGGAATTCTGAAGCAAGCAGGCATTCACAATGGCGGCCCATTTCCAGTTGAATGTCACCTCTTCTTTGTAAACACAGTATGGTAATTAGCACTTTGAGACACACTCCCGCAGCCTGCTTCCTCATGGGCATGCCTGGTACAACATAGAAGAGTGTTTTCAAGCCACGGAAAGTACAGGGAAACACACTACTCTGACTTTGGAAGTTTGGTCATTGGGGAAAAAATGGAGGTCTCACATCTTAGAATCTAGAGAGTTCTTGATAGATAGAGGCCTGAGAGCATACTCTCTGTTGATGCCTTAGCTTCCTCAAAAGAACACAACTTTCACTGTGTTCTGTTTGGTGAGTGTCACATACAGCATGAATACGCTTGCTTGGAGGTTATTTTCCAGTAGCAATTACCCTGATGGTGTTACTGTAGGGAAGACCCCCACATTCACAGGAAAAGAAAAGCCAACATCCAAACGTCCACTCCATCCCATTTTCTCTGCAGTAGAGATCCAGTATGCCTAGGTCTTTTTAGCAAATTCTTGGTTTTTCCTCAGGAACATATACTGAATGAGAAGTTGGATACCAGACCTTAGTGGCAAATTCGCATTTTCACTCAGTTGGCCCTAAAACGGTGCGGCCTAGCAACTGCTTGAAACGCCATCAAATAGCTGTTTTCTTACTTTTGACAGACAGAGCTTTGTTCCACCCTTTGGTATTGCTGAGGCAAGCAGGAGGCTCTCAATGGCTAGCTGCTGGCCCATTTCCAGTTGAATGTCACCTCTTCTGGCTAACCACAGTATGGCAATCAGCACTTTCAGGTACATTTCCACAGGCCTCCCTGTCCAACACCAACTCCTGGAGTTTACTCAAACTCATGTGCATTGAGTCGGTGATGTCATCCAGCCATCTCATCCTCTGTCGTCCCCTTCTCCTTCCACCTGCAATCGAGACTATTACAGACAGACTTTTCTAAAGTATAATTATTTTTAATAGTTTATCTAAAAGCTCACATCACATTTACATTTTTTAGGAGTTTTTTTTCCCTAGAGGTACTTTCCTTGTTGACAAACTTGCAACAGATATAACAATATAGCAATATTTAACTTATAATAAACTTAGGCACAATGAAAATTTTAGGCTTAATGTTAATAACTCTTCAGTTCAGTTCAGTCGCTCAGTTGTGTCTGACTCTTTGTGACCCCTTGAATAGTAGCACGCCAAGCATCCCTGTCCATCACCAACTCCCGGAGTTTACTCAAACTCATGTCCATTGCTTCGGTGATGCCATCCAGCCATCTCATCCTCTGTCATCCCCTTCTCCTCCTTCCCCCAATCCCTCCCAGCATCAGGGTCTTTTCCAATGAGTCAACTCTTTGCATGAGGCAGCCAAAGTATTGGAGTTTCAGCTTCAGCATCAGTCCTTCCAGTGAACACCCAGGAGTGATCTCCTTTAGGATGGACTGGTTGGATCTCCTTGCAGTCCAAGGGACTCTCAAGAGTCTTCTCCAACACCATGGTTCAAATGACTCTTAGATGTCTATATTAGAGTAGCAAACAAACATTAATACTAGATATTTAATATTGACTATTTCCCAGTTCATCTGAAATTCATTTAGGTTAATTTTTTCTTGTGTTTAGAACTATTTGATTTGTAAGTACTTCATTTTCTTTAGGTCAATTAATTAAGAATTCACTTAAAATTCAGCAATATTATAAAAAAAAATAGAAGACACACAATGAGACATACATAAATCCGGACAGAGATCTCCTAGTTTTCTGCTAAGACTTAAAAAATTGACCCTTCTTTGTTTTTTGGCTTGAATTTATCATTTGCCCAAGGCTGAGGTCTCAGGCAAAGTGGGCAGTGTTTTTCAAGGCCACAGAAAAGGCTAACTTCAAGCTTTCCCCTAGGCAGGCCTTTTTTAACAAGCTAGTTGTTTTTAATTACATATGAAAAAAGAACCAGCTTTACAGTTTCCAGGAAAAAAGAATTTTATTTTAACCAGTTTTCTCTGGTTCTACAGAATATCATGGCCATCCTGCATCAAGTCATCTTTCCTTTCTGTAGTCATAGTTTTATCCCTAAATTATAGACCAAACAGTGTTCAAATTGACTCTGACAAAAGGGCAGATGAGCTAATAAAAAGCTTGGATTGTCCCCGTGGGGTTGCTTTGTTTCCTCTGGCTGAAGTAGGGAGGCCGGTTGGCCTCTGCAAGAAGTGGGCGTATGGGCAGAGCAGAGCGCATCAGACCTGGGCATTGGCTGCAGTTCACCTGGGTGCTCCAGCGGCCTGCACACCGCTCTCCGAAGTGGGCGTAGGAGTAGACCGCACCTGGCCTGGGTCAAGAGTGGAGCGCACCTGGGGGGCGCTTGTGCGCCTCTTCCCAGCTCCTAGCCAGTGGGTCCCGGGTGAGCTCTCAGGGGTCTTCATTGCAGCTGGGAATGCCCATCTCGTGGGCTTCTGGGTCCTCAATCGGCATCCAGTGAGTGGAGCGGAGTGGGACTCGGTGGCACAAGGTGGAACAGGGAAACACGTATTACACCTTTTCTGTTGACACAGTCTCGGAGCCCCCTAACCTGGCGGTCATAGAAAGGCCTTGCTTTTGGGGTAAAGGCTTTGAGGACATTTCTGAGCCTTTACCCCTTCGCATAAATCTCAGTCCCGCATGGTTTTCCCATGCAGCCTGGTGCCCCCAGCGAGGCCCTCAGGAAGCCCAAGGGATTTATCCTGCCTGGTGATTTCACCTGCTGGGACCCCACAACCCCCACTCTGGCCGGCTGGCCCAGCCCTGCTGCCTGCACTTTTGCAGCCCAGCGGGCCCTTGACCACCTGCTGGGATGGGAAAGGGTAGGGTCTTGGAATTGCACCCTAGAAACTTAGTAGGGTGCATGGATTTAAAAACCTGGTGGCCACCCAGGCAGAAAAGAAGGGAAGAGGGCACCTTGCTGCCCTTTCATGGTGGAATCCTTGGCTGTCCTCCTGAGAGGGGCCTTTCCATGGGGACCCGGTGCACTGAGTTTGGTGTTTTGGAACTGAATAATTAGAAAGTGTAAAATTTTAAATTATTGTGGTGCTTTAATTTAAAAAACAAAAACAAAATAAAACTCTAGACCCTCTAAGTTTTTTGCAAATTGAGGTCTAAAAATTGAAGGTCTATTTTCCTGCCACTGTGGCATTCTATGAAGAAATGTGCATTTTTTTTAGAAAAGAGTCAAAAAAGTGAAGGAAACTGAAAACCCAGAGGTGCCCCTGTAGTTTGGCGAAGGCCTTAGGAGGTCACTTGTAAATGCTGCTGGCTGATGGGCACAGAGCCCTGCAGGCTATCTTTTGCATGGATACTCTTGTTTGTGGAAATCCAGCTCAGAGCCATCTCCTGATGTATAAGAATTTTCCAGACTAGACCCTTGGCACATCCCGTGGGGCCAGGGGTTCCTTGTATTTGTCTGTTTGACTGAAAACCAGCAATGATGTATTTTTCTTTAAATCTGGTCTATCATCCAGGCCTTAGAGTAGGCCTGGGTGATATTTCCCCTCCCCCTCAATAGACTTGGGTTCCAAAAATGAATTATAGTCAGTTGCCATGTTTTTATAGATGAGGAAACAGACCCAGAGAGGATGGAGGACTGTCCAAGGGAGAATGGGATATCCTTCCAGGAACCCTGGCTCCTGGGTTTTTAATGAGCTTCCTACCCAGCATGGTCACTAATTGGCAAGTATTGACATTGAGGATAAACTACTGATGGAAATGTAAAAGGCTTTTTTAAAGAATGTGCCTATCAGCTGTGCATCTTATGGAGTATTTTCATTGTATTCCCCAACGCTGGGAAAGTGCTGAGCACAGGGCAGATGCTTCAACATTTTTATTGAATAAGTTCAATTTCACATAATTATATCCAGAGTGTCAGCAACACTATGAAGTATATTAGAACAGTGGTCTTCACAGTTGGTACTTCACAGATCAGTAAAGAAAGACAACTGTTTTTATTAGGAAGGCTGTAATAGAATTGCTAAATTTTAAGTTTGTCCCACAAGGATATTTTTTAAAAATGAAACAAATCTCTCCTATCATCACCAAGGCTACTGGAGGTCTGTTGAGGACCCCATGCAAGGGCGTCTCTCTCTCTTGGGACACCCCTGCTTCTGTATCTCCCTAAGCCAGCAACCTGGGACAGCTAAGTACACTTGAAGTTCCTTCCTTGACCTCGGGGGGTTTTGTGGAAAACAATTTTCTGATGGACAGGGGTAGGGGGAGGTTTGGGGATGATTCAAGTGCAGTACATTTATTGTGCACTCTATTTCTATTTCTATGGTCTTCCCTGGTGGCTCAGTAGGTAAAGAGTCTGCCTGCAATGCGGGAGACCCGGGTTCAATCCCTGGGTCAGAAGGATCTCCTGGAGAAGGAAATGACAACCCACTCCAGTATTCTTGCCTGAAGAATTCAATGGACTAAGGAGCCTGGTGGGCTACAGTCCATGGGGTAGCAAAGAGTTGGACACGACTGAGTGACTAACACTTATTTTATATTATTATTATATCAGCTCCACCTCAGATCCTAGAGGTTGGGGTCCCCTGCTTTAGTCTCCTCTTCCATCTTCTACACAGTCCCAGCCTGCTTTCTCTTCCTCTTCCACCTGCAGAAGTACCTGCTAGACTTCCTCGAATGTGATATGAACCTCCTTTCCTCACTTCCCTTCCTGATCCTGAGTCCTTCTCTTAACTGGGTTTCCCTGATCTCCATCTAGACACCTTTGCCCCAAGTGGCGCTAGTGGTAAAGAACCTACCTGCCAATGCAGGAGATCGATGCCTGCATTGGGTTGGGAAGATCCCCTGGAGGAGGACACAGCAACCCACTCCAGTATTCTTGCCTGGAAACTTCCCACGGACAGAGGAGCCTGGTGGGCTATGATCCATAGGGTTGCAAACAGTCAGACATGACTGAAGCGACTTAGCACGGCATACCAGAGGACCTTTGAACTGCAGACTCATGTGATTGTTCTGGCTCTTTGGAGTCCCTTGTCATTGCACATGTATGTTAGGGTCAGCTTGTGTATGACCAAATTGCCCAAATGACATTCTGTTTTCCTGCTGACGCCTACCTTCTCAAAGCTACGAGACCACCAGATTCTAGACCTCCAGTTACATGAGCACAAGACTCAACTACAGGCTAAAAACTAACCATCCCTTCAGAGAATTTTTCATTGGTGGAGTTTAAGAAAGAGCCCACCAGAAAAGAAGACACTGGTTCTCCTTAAGGGCCAGTCACCGTTTCATTTCCCTCTAATAAATTTCCCTTTTCTTGTCTGACTGCCCAGCTTGCTCTCTTTTTCTCTGCACTCGCCTTACATTCTGGTGCCAAAACCTGGGAGGGAAGATCCACCCCAACTGGGTGGGCTCCTCTCCCGAGCCCATCTATGGTGGTCCCCTCCCTTGGACCTTGCCAAGAAACTGAGATGAGCCCAGGACAGGACTCTCCACTTGCCTTGCCAGGCTGACCTCCACACACCTGCCCACATTTCATCCATCGTTTACAAGGGCGGGTGAAACCCCATGCTCTCGAATCCTCTCTCTCTCGCCTCCTTTCCAAGTCCTAGGGCTAGTCAGGAGGATCTCCAAGGCCCTTGGGCCTTTATTCAGCCTTGTGCCACAGCCGACTTTGAAATAGGGGACACCCATTTCAAAGCAGACTATTATTACTCTCTGAGAAAGTCAGAAGAACAGGAGCGCCTTTTCTCTCAGACCTTTCTCCTTGCTTTCTCTCACCCTTTTCTCACCTCCCTATTTGGCCGCAATGGGAAATTCTCAATCCCAGCCCTCAAAATCTACTCCCCTAGGATGTCTTCTCTGAAACCGAAAAGCCATGGGCTTCCAAGGGGAGAAAAGACCAAAAAGACTTATTTACTATTCTAACACTGTCTGGCCACAATACAGACTTGATAATAGGTCCCAATGGCCAGAAAATTGAACTCTCGATTATAATACTCTACGGGACCTCGATAACTTCTGCCATAGCAACAACAAGTGGTTAGAAATCCCTTATGTTCAGACTTTCTTTGCTCTTGACCCTCTCCTTGTGAATCCTGCTCTACTTCTGAAATACTCTTAGCCTACTCTGGGCCACATCCTCCTGATACAATGTCTCCCGAGGGTCCCAAGGCTTTACCCAGACCTCCCTGGATCCCCTCCCCATACCCGATCCTGAACAACGTTAAACAGGAAACTTGACAACAGGACCCCACTCCTTTCCCTGCCCCTCGCTCCCTTTAGGGGAAGCAGCTGGAGCAGAAGGCAATGTTCGGGTTCATGTCCCATTATCCCTCACCGATTTATCTCAGATTGAAAAGCAGCTTGGCTCTTTCTCTTCAGATCCTGAGAATTATCTAAAGGAATTCAGGTATCTTACTCAGTCTTACGACTTAACCTGGCATGATATTTACATCACACCTGGCTCCACTCTTCTCCCAGAAGAGAAGGAACGAGTATGGCAGGCCTCTCGGGTGTGTGCTGATGAGGCACACAGTCCCAATGACTCTCAGCCCTAGGGGACACGGCCGTCCCCCGGGGATGACCCCAACTGGGATCATCAGGCAGGGAGAAGTGCACGAGCAGCTCGTGATCACCTGGTTGCTTGCCTCATGGTGGGCCTTCAAAAGGCAGGGCATAAAGCGGTCAACTTTGAAAAGCTTCAGGAAATAAAGACTAGATGAAAACCCAGCACAATGTAACAGAAGCCCTACAAAAATATGCAAAATCAGACCTCATTTCAGCAAAGGGCACCATAGCCCCTTTGGATGACACCCATTTTATCTCCCAGTCATCCCCAGATATCCAAAAGAAACTAAAAAAGGCAGAAGAAGGCCCTCAAGCCCCTCGATGAGACCTTTTAAATTTAGCTTTTAAGATTTTTCAATAACCGGGAAGGACAGGCAAATCTAGAGAAGGCCCAGGGAGATCAGGCCAAATAACACCTTTAAGCCACTGCCCTACATGGCTCCAAGCCTCCATCAACCAACAAAGAAGGAAGCCCCCTGGGCCCTGCTTCAAAGGCAGCAAAGAAGGCCACTTGGGTGCTCATGCCTAAACCAAGGCCCCCTCCAGATCCGGGTCCCAGCTGTGGCATAGAGGGACACTGGAAGGTCCACTGCCCAAATCCCCCTCCAGGGATCCAGACATCCCCTCCTGGTCCCGAGCAGGAGTCCTCTGACCCAGTTCTGCCCAGCCCCCTCGGACTCGCCACTGAGGACTGAAGGTGCCCAGGGCCCCAGGCCCCAACTCTCATCACCTCTATGGAGCCCAGGGTAACTCTTAGAGTGGCAGGTAAGCCCATCTCCTTTCTCACTGACACAGGGGTCACTTACTCTGCTCTGCCTGCCTACTCAGGGAAAACCAGGGTCTCTCAACTCTCTGCTATGGGGGTTGATGGTTTAATATCTACACTATGAATAACCAAGCCTCTATCTTGCACACTTCAAGATACCCCATTTTCCCATTCTTTTCTCATACTCCCAAAACACCCTACTCTTATTCTTCGAGAGACCATCTCTCAAAATTCAAAG